CTATGCTCCTCGCATATTCACTTACGCGTTCACTCGCGCTTTTCTCTCTTTCTCTCCCTCTCTCTCTCTCTTTCTCTTTCTCTGTTCGTTCTTTATTGTATTCTTTCTTTCCCATTATTATATTCTCTTATTTATTCGACTTTTATTCTTTTTATTCTCGTCTTCCTACATAATAATAATTATTAATTTAATCGTTAATTTATTCATCTTTATTTTATAGAGTTGTCGTAACTCGAAATCGAATAATGTAATTACGACCTATAAAAGTAAAAAAGGAGCACAGTTCAAATTCAGCACTTCGTAAGCTGTTGCGCGCGCTCCCAAAACCGCGATTAAATGCAAGATATGCAATTCGTTGCAATATGCAATTAAGACATCGCGACCTAGTACCGAAAAATCACCTACTTTCGGACCATAAAAAGAGAGATAACGAGTACCTCGGGGCCGTATTCCGAAACTAAGTGGTGACGCGTATACTTGAAGAAACTGTGAGATTCTGTAAACGCCGACATTGTTATATCGCCGAAGCATCACCAAACCGAACTCTACGATACGTAAGCTGTACAAATAAATCTTTTTGCACGGAATCTCTGCCTCGTGTTTCTCGACACTCGGAGTCCCAACTCCTAAGACGAATCGAACCCTTGGATCATCCTCAAAATTCCCGTTGTACCCGGAGAAGCACAACATCAGGCTTTAAATTCATATCGATCATCGACCGTTTGAAGAAATCGAAGACACAATTGTCCACAAATACTTTGATTATAATTTTGATAGGCCGTGTGATTGTATTCTATATTTGCAACATTCTGTCCAAAATATCGCACTAATACCTTGGGCGGTCGAAGATTTCCGAAACTATCAAAATATGCTACACGATCTCCCCTCTATGCATACGCAACCCAATGAGTACCGAAACCATCAACGTCATCCAAATTGACGATACCGCTCTCATTTCGCCGTACACCGTTTATCGGTAAATTATTGCGCATGAAAACGCCTCTAAAAAATGGTATACGCATACGTCTTGCTATATTATTCATATTTAAAAACTTTAAATAGTTGTCTGTGGAAACATGCTAACTTTTGTTTTCTTATTGTTCGGGAGTCGATCTCGACGAGATTGCCCGAATCTTATGAAACGCTCAGAGATGAGCGAGAAGCGGTGTGTAACGCGAATCCGTAGATCCGCTGGAGGATAAGGAGATTGAGAAAAGAATCGAGTGCAGATTGTTAGTAATGTTCCCTTTATTTTGAATAATGGGAGCGAGCGACGGCACGTATTCCGCGATTCCGACGGAAATCTTCAAAATGTCCTGTTAATGACTGCCCTTTTTTCGCGGTTCGGAAATCTTGATTAAGAGCTTCTTGCTAGAAACTCTCGCGAAAACGGAAATCTTGATCGCGAACGCTGGATGGAATTTAGCGCGAGGCAAAGGACATTCGCGATGCGGATAACGAGCGTCGACTCTCGAACTCCAAACAATTAACTTTCACAATATCTGAGCACTAAATAATGAAAGAACACGAATTGAGATGTGACCAAATTGCTCGCCGCGAGAATATGAATGCGATATTATGCGAGACAATTCGGACCGAATATGAGACGAGGAAGCCTACTGCGTACGCGACATGAGCGAGAATAAGCGAAATGCGAATGCGAAAAGTCGATGAATTTCGACCGGCTCGAATCGTTGTCGTAGGCAGACTAAATCGACCGACCGCGGAAACTCGCATTCTGCCGATGTGAATAACAAGTTTTTCGGTATCGAAAGTTCTCGAATCAAATGTTTGTCACGGTTTTTCAATCTAAGAATGCGATCACGCACCGAGCGGGTGACCGCGACGCTTGGTTGTTCTCGCTCGTGTTTTATTTTCTGAGGCAATCGTTTTAATATAACGGCGAAATTTAGAAACGACATTTTAATGATTGAATATTGAACGCTTATCAAGAGCTGAGAGTAAGCGTTCTTCGTAAGTGATACATCTCCTACTCTAAAATGTTCGAGACAATGTCTATCCCGTTGTGTCTGTGTTACGTCCCTGTATTATCGCGGCGCGAAAAAAGGATGATTTCGCGTGCTCGGATTGGTACCGGGCTATGTCGCTATTTTGGAATATCTTCCGGGGATCACCTGCGACTGAGGGCTACCGGATTTTCGTAAAGTACGCGAGGATATTAATAAAGATCGCGAACGATCGCGACATTCAATTAAGGCGAAATGTGAATTAATAGAACAGATTGGGTAGCTGGGGTATTTCCTCGGCTCGGAGTACCAGATTTCGATCAAAGTTATTAATTAATCCGTCTATATTTGCGGGGTTTTGGTCGAATTTATTTAACTTTACTGTACATAAATGGCACAAAGTTCCTAGTCTAACAAAACTTAAGGCTTGGTCGCATTTACAACATGCGATAATAGCGGGAGCCGGAAAAATAAGTCGCGGGACGTGACACCTCCCCCCTTAAAGGAAAATGTTGAACCAAGATTCGACATTTTCCTTTGTATACATACTACAAGATTACATTATCAATTACATAATCGAATTTCGTTATATGTTTCTTATGTTATTCCTTATTTTAGTCTTATTCATCTAACAGCTTTCTGAGTTTTTTGAAATCTCTGCGCATTTCATTGGTGTAAAGCACTCGGGGTTGTGGGGCTATTTCTTCTGGTGGGGGGGGGGGCTTTGGGGTGCAGATTTTCGGTCGTAGAAGGGGTTATGGGGAATAATTCTTCGGTTGGCGGGGGTATTTGATTGGGACGCTGGTTTCCGCCGTTGCCTCCGTCGTTTCATCTGCTCGGGGTTCCCATGTACAGGTGTAGATTTGTAGATTTGTTACTGATGTCCATATTGCTCCCAGTAGATGTAGACTCCACCCGTAAATTGAATGGAGAGCGTAACCATGGATGATTGTGTCCACTATTAATTTTGCGGGCCGGACAACCATGAATATTGCGAGTATCCCTGCACTGGCGGACCCAAATGTCATAAATCCCTTCCAGAGACGCATGCCTGCACTCTCTGCAATCTGATCCAATGTTTTCTCGTGAAATAGGTTTATCAGGGAGAAACTACCCGCTGGAATCTCCTGGCCCATCGCTCCTCGTGCTATTGTACTTAGCATGGAGGGTTTTTCCATGGGAAACATGATGTGGTCACGTAAGCGGTCGAGGTCCTCGTTCGTATAGATGCCGCTGGTGGCAAGGGATGTTGGGCTGACATACTTCCATGCTGGTTTCGTTAACGAGTGTATATTGGTGGCGCTATTGATTCAACTGGTTTTGGCATTAGCCGGTACCAGGTGTTGTAGATTTTGTACATCGTCGGCAGGAGTTCATTGCAATCCTTCGGTGTTCCTGTTTTGGTGAGTATTCTCGATCCGGGTAGTAAGAATATTGATTGGTTCTTGTAGGTGACCGGTAGCTTATTGTAACAGCCTTCCACGGATCGCACGCGGCACTCTGCAGGTACACACTTGATCAGGTGCATGGCTTCGCCGGCCATTATTGCGGTGTATCCTGGTTCCTTCATTATTCTGTAGGCCATCTCGTCAGGCGCTATGCTTGCCAGAGAGAGAAGAGAGAGAGATATCTGTTTTCCAGGGCGCATTTCTGTTCCATAATGTCTCGGTATAATTGTGTGAGCTGTGTTTTGATGTGTTTCTCCAGTTTCTCCAATTTCGAGTTCACATAAGAGAATATGTCTAAGTTGTTGACAGATACCCTGGCTCTGGTTTTGAAGGTTTTACCTCTCTGTGTTTCCAAAACTGATAACTTCGGGTGCTCAGTTTGCAGCAGGCGGTATCCACATAGGTTGAGCTCTGTTGTTTTAGTGAGCGCGAATGTGGTTTCCTTGGTTGTCACCGTATATACTGCTGGTGTTGAGTAGTTCCCCTTGGCGATCAGTTTGCTGGCTATTCTCTCGTAGAGAACGTCTAAGTTGTTGACAGATACTCTGGCTCTGGTTTTGAAGGTTTTGCCTCTCTGTGTTTCCAGAATTGATAATTTCGGGTGTTCAGTTTGCAGCAGGCGGTATCCACATAGGTTGAGCTCCGTCGTTTTGGTGAGCGCAAATGTGGTTTCCTTGGTTGTCACCGTATATACTGCTGGTGTTGAGTAGTTCCCCTTGGCGATCAGTTTGCTGGCTATTCTCTCGTAGAGAACATCATACCTGTCGAAATGGCAGCTGTTTCTTGGGGCGATATTCCAGTAAGTCTCCGATCAGTCGGTATCGAGGCATTCGCCTGGTGATGCCTTGCAGTGCACGCCAGATGGGAGGATCACCTCGTTTGATTTTCGCTCGATCGAGACTTCAAAGTCTCGTAGGGTTACCTTGACGACTGCTTGGACGACGACGTCTTCCCAGATTCCAAAGGCGTCGCTATATTCCGTTCCGGAACATCGTCCGTCCACGGAGTTAGAGCCTGCTAGTGTAATAGAACGCGTGTTCGTGCTATTTCTTTTGAGGCCCTGTATGATGCTCTGTTGGCCCGTTCCCATCGTAATGGCTCCTGAATTCTGCATCTTTTTACAAATGGAGTCAGAGAGTTCGTGCATATACTGCCGTCGACCTCCCTGGACAATGGAGATATGGGAGTGCATCCCGCAGTAATAAATTGTTTGGTCTACCTCAATCTTGCATTGAATCACATCTGTGCGGTCGTACTCAGAAAGCTGCAGTAGTTGGACGTAGACATCCTCCTTGTTGGGCTCCAGGTTATCGACCTCACATCTGCCTATGTCCAGCAAGGACAGTGAGGTTATGTTGAGTCCTTGTCCTCCACAATCATAACCTATCAGGCTATGAAAGATGGGGAAACAGAGCGCGATGATGGCGACTATCGGTAAGAAAGTTCTCATCTTATGGTTTGTTCGTTACTGGCCGGTCCTCCGCCGGTATGCCGCTGTTATAGCCTCCCTGGTGCTGGTCCTCGTGGTGGGGGTTTGGCGTGGAGGGGGCATTATGGGGCGAGTGCTTTAGCTTGTCTTCGTGCACAAGTTTTGTCCTATTTTTACTTATGGTTATTCTAACATTATTATTTCTTAACAATTCTATTATCTTATGCGGACCAGTGTACTGGTCTCCTAATTTCCCTTTCGTGGGTTCCTTAAGTAGGTATACGTTATCTCCTAGCTTAAATTTACGGGTCTTAATCTTACGGTCGTAATAGCGCTTCGACCTTTCCTTAGAATTAATTAGGTTTTCACGCGCTATTGCTCGTGCGTCTTTGATTTTATTAAACAGGTCGGTCAGATACTTTGCGTAGCTTTCATTTATCTCATTAGTCGTGTCTGATTCGCTGGAGTGTACTTTGGCTACTTTGCCGAACACTAGTTCCTGGGGGGTGTATCGCGTGCCTTCATGGACGCTAGTATTGTATGAAAATGACGCTAATTTTAAATGTCTATCCCAGTCATTGTTTTTATTTACAAACTGTTTTAGGTATTCCCAGAGTACTTGGTGTGATCGTTCCACTGAACCGTTTGATTGCGGTCTGTATGCCGTGGTTTTAAAGTGTCTAATTTTGAATTTGTGCGCTACATTTCGCATAAGGCTATTAAGAAAGTGTGAGCCTTGGTCGGTCAAGATAGTTTTCGGAGCACCGAATGTGCATATAAAGTCGTTAGTGAAAGCATCCGCTACGTCGATCGCACCTGCATGTTGCAGAGGGATATCTGTTTTCCAGGGCGCATTTCTGTTCCATAATGTCTCGGTATAATTGTGTGAGCTGTGTTTTGATGTGTTTCTCCACATACAAGAATTTCGAGTTCACATAAGAGAATATGTCTAAGTTGTTGACAGATACCCTGGCTCTGGTTTTGAAGGTTTTACCTCTTTGTGTTTCCAAAACTGATAACTTCGGGTGCTCAGTTTGCAGCAGGCGGTATCCACATAGGTTGAGCTCTGTTGTTTTAGTGAGCGCGAATGTGGTTTCCTTGGTTGTCACCGTATATACTGTTGGTGTTGAGTAGTTCCCTTTGGCGGTCAGTTTGCTGGCTATTCCCTCATAGAGAACATCATACCTGTCGAAATGGCAGCTGTCTCTCGGGGCGATATTCCAGTAAGTTTCCGATCCGTCGGTATCGAGGCATTCGCCTGGTGATGCCTTGCAGTGCACGCCAGATGGGAGGATCACCTCGTTCGATTTTCGGTCGATCGAGACTTCAAAGTCTCGTAGGGTTACTTTGACGACTGCTTGGACGACGACGTCTTCCCAGGTTCCAAAGGCGTCGCTATATTCCGTTCCGGAACATCGTCCGTCCACGGAGGTGGAGCCTGCTAGTGTAATAGAACGCGTGTTCGTGCTATTTCTTTTGAGGCCCTGTATGATGCTCTGTTGGCCCGTTCCCATCGTAATGGCTCCTGAATTCTGCATCTTTTTACAAATGGAGTCAGAGAGTTCGTGCATATACTGCCGTCGACCTCCCTGGACAATGGAGATATGGGAGTGCATCCCGCAGTAATAGATTGTTCGGTCTACCTCAATCTTGCATTGAATCACATCTGTGCGGTCGTACTCAGAAAGCTGCAGTAGTTGGACGTAGACATCCTCCTTGTTGGGCTCCAGGTTGTCGACCTCACATCTGCCTATGTCCAGTAAGGACAATGAGGTTATGTTGAGTCCTTTTCCTCCACAATCATAACCTATCAGGCTATGAGAGATGGGGAAACAGAGCGCGATGATGGCGGTTATCGGTAAGAAAGTTCTCATCTTATGGTTTGCTCGTTACTGGCCGGTCCTCCGCCGGTATGCCGATGTTATAGTCTTCCTGGTGATGGTCCTCGTGGTGGGGGTTTGGCATGGAGGGGGCACTATGGGGCGAGTGCTTTAGTTTGTCTTCGTGCACAAGTTTTGTCCTATTTTTACTTATGGTTATTCTAACATTATTATTTCTTAACAATTCTATTATTTTATGCGGACCAGTATATTGGTCTCCTAATTTCCCTTTCGTGGGTTCCTTAAGCAGGTATACATTATCGCCTAGCTTAAATTTACGGATCTTAATCTTACGGTCATAATATCGCTTCGACCTTTCCTTAGAATTAATTAGGTTTTCGCGCGCTATTGCTTGTGCGTTTTTGATTTTATTAAACAGGTCGGTCAAATACTTTGCGTAGCTTTCATTTGTCTCATTAGTCGTATCTGATTCGCCGGAGGGTACTTTGGCTACATTGCCGAACACTAGTTCGTGGGGGGTGTATCGCGTGCCTTCATGGACGCTAGTATTGTATGAAAATGACGCTAATCTTAAATGTCTATCCCAGTCATTGTTTTTAGTTACAAATTGTTTTAAGTATTCCCAGAGTACTTGATGTGATCGTTCCACTGAGCCGTTTGATTGCGGTCTGTATGCCGTGGTTTTAAAGTGTCTGATTTTGAATTTGTGCGCTACATTTCGCATAAGGCTATTAAGAAAGTGTGAGCCTTGGTCGGTCAGGATAGCTTTCGGAGCACCGAATGTGCATATAAAGTCGTTAGTGAAAGCATCCGCTACGTCGATCGCACCTGCATGTTGGAGAGGGAGGGCTAATGAATATTTTGTTAGTAGGTCTTGAATGGTTAATATATACACATTGCCTGGTTGTGTGGTGGGCAGAGGGCCCGAGAGGGAGGGCTAATGAATATTTTGTTAGTAGGTCTTGAATGGTTAATATATACACATTGCCTGGTTGTGTGGTGGGCAGAGGGCCCATGATATCCATTGAGATCTTTTCAAAGGCGGAATCAGGGGTGTCCGTCAGTACCATTGGTTGTCTGGTTTTTACTCTAACAAGTTTCTTTAGCTGACACGAACGACAATTTCGAACAAAAGTTTGTATGTCTGCCTTCATTCCAGGCCAATAATAATTTTTCTTAACGCGATTGTATGTTTTCGTTACACCCTTGTGTCCTCCTATTGCCGAACAATGGTTTTCTATCATGATCTCATGTCTATCGTTCTCCGCAGGGGTTGTTATTTTATTTGTACATATAAATATGTTTACATTGGTGTTTCCTAGTATGCGAGTAAGTAGCGAGTGTGCTATCTCCCAGGGAACATTATCTACGTCCCCTTTCGCTATGGAAACCGATCGCAAATCCAGTTCCGTGACGATATCTAAGAGCGAGCACAATGCTTCCTTTATAATATTTTTCTCTGTTACTCCAAATATTCGTTCTATTACAACTAACGATATTATGTGGCGATTACCGTTTTTATTTACTTTGCCTCTGGCTAGTGTGGCATCTTTAATCATGGGTAATGACTTTGTTTCCTGGAGCAGCCGGGCTCCCAGGTCAATAGGCGCACCCTGTTGTGTGGTAAAGATTACAAGATTATCTCTACGGGTTGTGAAATTGTCGGGAATTGCTACGATTTTTGGTCCCGTTACATTTTTCGTGGAAGCGGTTTCATTAACGTTATCAAATATACAAGAGGCATTATCGGAGTCGGAGCTGCTGTCGGTCTCGCTATCGCTTAGAGTTTCGTTAATGTCGCTTGGCGTTAATGGTAGTTCCGTATCGCTATCTGCTATGCCGTCATCGGTCGGTGCAAGTTCGTTACCGGGTCTAGAATTTCTAGCATTAAATAAAGATTCGTTGGAGCTGGTTATTACATTATCGCGCTTGAGAGGGAACATTCGGGTCTCAACGTTCCTTTGTGTCCCTTTTGTTATCGCATGGACGTGTGTCGGATTTCGCGATAGCGCATCCGCGTTCACGTTCATCTTTCCTGCTTTATAAATCACTTCATACTCATACTCGGCTAGTTTTAAGCGCCAACGGCCCAATCTGGAAGTCGGGTCTTTTACTGAATGTAACCATACCAACGGTTTATGATCAGTGATTAGTTGAAATTTCCGTCCGTTTAAGTAGGGGCGGAAATAATTTACACAATATACAATAGCTAAAAGTTCCTTTTCAATTGTAGAATAATTTTTTTCTGGAGAGTTCAACAGACGCGGCGCGTAAGCGATAGGAAGGTCTTTCCCGACTGGTCCCTGGCTTAGTATGCCGCCTATCGCGTAGCCCGAAGCGTCGGTGGTAACTACAAAAGGTTTTGTAAAATCGGGGTATTGCAATAATGGTTCTGTACACAGCGTTTCGCGGAGTTGCAAAAAGGCTAATTCTTGCTCCTTCTTCCAGTCGAAATGTTCGTCCTTTTTCAGTAAATCCGTTAGGGGACGCGCTATTTTAGAGAAATTAGGAATGAATCTACGGTAGTAACCTGCTAATCCGAGGAATTGTTTGATATTTTTTTCGTTCTTAGGTGTCGGAAATTCCTTTACCGCTCGAATCTTCGCGGGATCCGGCCTCACACCTCTATCGCTGATAATATGGCCCAAGTAGCCGACTTCCTTCCTCAGGAATTCACATTTGTCCGGTTGGAGTTTCAAATTAGCTTGTCTTAGTCTCCCGGTAAGTTTATTAAATTTAATTTCATGTTCTTGGAGTGAGCTTGCGTATAATACAATATCATCTAGATAGACGAAGAGTTCGCTACCCTGCAGTCCCGTCAAAACCTGATCCATGAGTCGCTGAAAAGTTGCAGGAGCATTCTTGAGACCGAATGGCATACGGCTAAATTCGTAATGCCCGAGAGGCGTAGAAAAAGCTGTTTTTTCCGCGTGTGACTCATGCATTGGTATCTGATGAAATCCTGATGCGAGATCGAAAACGCTAAAGTACTTCGCGCTACCTAATTGATCCAGGATCTCCGTAATATTCGGGAGTGGGTATGCGTCTCCTATCGTTTTTTCATTTAACATACGATAGTCAATGACCATTCGCCACCTTTTATTTCCTTTGGAGTCGGGTTTTTTGTGCACAATCCACAAGGGAGAATTATAAGGAGACTCGGATGGTCTAATCACATCATTATCTAATAATTCTTTTATCTGCTTATTTATTTCTTCTTTGTGGATTGGCGGAAATCTGTACTGCTTAGTGTTTACTGGTGACAGTGGGTACTACAAGTTCTCTATCTAGATCGCTTGCGTTCACAACTTGGAGATAAGCTCTCCCGTTACGGTTCGTAACTACAGCATCGCCGAGATAAACATTCTCGCAGACGCTAAGTCGCGGAATGTATCCCGTTAAAATATGAGGATTGGTAACTTTCACATAAAACGTTGCACGCGATCTGGCGGGAATGACCACGGTGTCGCGTTGAGCAAAGGGAACACGCATCCCTTTCCAGAGTACGAATTGATTTTTGAAATCGATTTTTGAGGCGTCCCGAAAGAAGTCAGATCCTAAGATCCCTTCCTGAGGTATCGGGAAATTGTTTCGTACTACGTGCATATCTATGGGGTATCTCATGTATAGAATTTGTATGGACCCGAGCGTCTCGATTTTACCGTCCGTTATTCCACTAAGGAGTAATTTATCGGTGGCGAGGATATTCGCTTCGGGATGTAGACTTCTGAACTTGATTAGATTTGGAGCCGCGCCCGTGTCAACCATGAAACTCGTTTCTTGTAATAGACCGTCTGCGGCTAACGCGACGGTGGGCGCGTGAGAAAAATGTTGCGGATTTAGGGTTGCGATTCTGCACTCGTGCAGCTGGCCGCTTCTACCGGGTTTACCGGGCGAATCGTTTGTTGTAAGGGCCCTTGGCGAGTTACGCCCGTTTGTCCCGCGGGGCCCGTCGCGTTTCCCGATTCGACTTTTCTCGCGTTATTGTATTGTCTCTTACGACATTCTTCTATCGTGTGTCCGGAGTTTTTGCAATACCGGCACCACTTAGTCGATTGATCATTACGCGGGGGAGGGGCGTTAGTATTAAGATTACTTGGTACGTTCCTGGTGTCACGGTTAGCATATTGCGGTCGTTCGACTCGGTCACGCGGCTGGTATGTCCGCGTGTAGTTATCTCGGGAGGCGTTATCTGTACTGTAGTTCCGAGAATAGTTTTGACCATACGGCCTCGGCGATATCGGGTAGGTATGCGGCCGTCGAGATAACTCATCTCGTCTTCCGGAGTCAGGGCGTTCTCTCGCTCCGTAGCGTTGCTTATCTAATTCCTGTCTTTTTGCTAGGGCCTTGGTATAGGCCTTGGTTAAGTACGCGAGGATATTAATAAAGATCGCGAACGATCGCGACATTCAATTAAGGCGAAATGTGAATTAATAGAACAGATTGGGTAGCTGGGGTATTTCCTCGGCTCGGAGTACCAGATTTCGATCAAAGTTATTAATTAGTCCGTCTATATTTGCGGGGTTTTGGTCAAATTCATTTAACTTTACTGTACATAAATGGCACAAAGTTCCTAGTCTAACAAAACTTAAGGCTTGGTCGCATTTACAACATGCGATTCGGAAAAATAAGTCGTGGGACGTGACATCTGTCACAAAGTGTCTGACAGCGAACGTTTAACAGTCCATTAAGTGTGTTTCAAGTGAAAATATTCGAAAATGCCAATGTTTCACCTTAATCTTGTTAGTAGTGTTCAGTGTTTTTGTGTGCGAGATTATGTGTGATATTTATTAATTAATAATATATTTCAGTTCGTACAAATTGACGTGATCCACCGCCGATACATGCGGTGGGTGCGTGAAAATCTTCGATGGGTGCACGCCAATTTGTGGGGCAATATGCGAGGGGTCCGCGAGTGGGCATGCGTGGACCCTGATCAATATGAAGATATCTTCTATTTGCGGCCGCTTTTTGGGGTTGAGCCCTATGAAGAAGAGGAAAATAGGGAGGAGGAGGAAAAGGCTGAAAATTGGGAGGAGGAGGAAGAGGCTGAAAATTGGGAGAAGGAGGAATGGGAGGAATATTGGGAGGAAGAGCTTGCGGCTCCAGGAGGATAATGTATCTTCTTTTTTTAAATTTATATTAGATTTATAAACATTAAATTAATATACTAATAAGATTTCTTTCTGTTTCAGATGGAACGCCGCATTATTATTATTA